CCCTTGCTGGGTCTCTGTCATTCTTCCTGACATTCTGCCCTTGCCGCCAACACTACCACACCACCTGCAGACAGTCCCCACTCACTGCCAATACATCTCCACTGCTGACATCGTTGCTGACACTGCTGACACCTGCAGACAGTCCCCATGCCCCCCCAGCCTCAGGGAGCACATGTCGTTTGTGACCCTTCCCAAACCTATACATGCCAATGCACACATCCTCTCTCACATGCAGAAAGCCCGATACAATCTTTCCCACATCCAAACAGACCAACACTACCCCACACAAATTTCCCCCCATACAGACAGGCCTAAAACCACTTTGCAAACGATTTGCCACAGGCACACTTGTTGGCAGCATGCAATATAATCCCTTCTCATACCCGGATAGTCCTACCCCAGCCAAGAAATACTCCCCATATCTGGAGAGAATGACACCATGCTGCACAAACTTCCACAAACTCCAACAGGCTGATCCCCCACCCAACTTACCCACTTCCCCCCAGGATGTCACTGCCCCCTATAACCCTCTCCACACCAAGATGGCCTATACCACACCACACAACCCTTCATATACCTGGACATGCTGACAGCATATCACACAGCCCTCACTTCACTTAGGCAGGCTGACATGACCCTACACATCCTTCCCTACTTACAACTCCACCCTACACAACTCTCTCCACATCTATACAGACTGTACAACCCTTCCCGCACATACATAGACCACTACCACCCCACATATCCCTCCCTCCACCCAGATAAGCCAACACTTTTCCACACAAATCTTCCCACACCCAGAGAGATCAACACCATCCTACACAACCTCCTGAGTATGCAGACAAAATCAGCAGCAGCAGCAGCAATCCCTCAGTCAAGGATGATGATGATTGCATCTTCCATGACTGCCTTATTTGTGGGTCCAAAGATAGCTGACAAGACCAGTCTGGAATCGACAGGTTCTACTGCAACTCGGGCATGTGTTTCTGTGCAGTGGGCAGCTCTGGATTCTTGGTTTGGTCTGCAACCAGCTGTTTCTGCTGCTCTTGCTTTTCAATCTCCTGACACAATACCGTTTAATAGAACATCCCTAAACCCAGAGAGCTCCTATACATGTGCCGGCTCCAACGCACTGAAAATCCAGCACAATTAATTGAGTCTGCTGGAGTGCAGAAATTGATGTGCTCCGACAGACTCTAGCTTCATGTGTTTCAGGATCCCCATGCTGAAAAATGGCAGTGGGGCACTTTGAACTAAAGCTCATTGAATAAGTTTTGGTTCAAAGTGCCCCACTGTCATGTTTTAGGGCAGGGGGCACCGATACATGTGACCCTTGGGAGCTTTTAATTAGCATGGCTTGCTAATTAAAGCACCACCCTGCCATGTCTCCTAGAGCATGTATAAAAATGCCCAGAGAGGCTGACACCACCTGATACTTTTCAACAAGTACTTTTCAACAACAAGACAGCTTGACACCACCCAATATGGCACCACCCACACCCAGAGAAGCTCACACTACCTCACACAACCCTCCCCACATTCAGGCAGCCTGATACCACCCCAAACCTACTCACCCTCAGATATTCTGATACTATCCCATACAGTCTTTCCCACATTGAGACAGAACAACACAACTCCATGCAATCCACCCCACACCTGCCATTACTCCAAACAAGCCTTTCTGCATGCAGACAGGCCAACACCATCCCTACATACACCCAGATAAGATTGCAGCACCTCATATATCCTTGTCTACAACTTGACAGGTCAACTCCACTCCATTCTACTATTTCCAATTCCCTTTAAAGCAGATGACACCTTGTTTCCTAATCTTCCCACACGCAGACAAGTTGAAACCATCCAACACAAGTCCCTTCATGCACAGATAGGCCAACCCCACAGACAACTCTCCCTACATCCACACTGCCCAGCACCACCCCACACAACTCTCCTTATATTCAGGCAGGACAACCCTGCTATATACAATCTTTTTCAAAATGAGTCAGTACAATTCCACCTCACTTAAGCCACCCTACACTCAGGTCAACACTACTCCATGCAGTCTTCTCACCATTCAGATAGGATACCACCACATCATCCCCTAGCTAGCCCCCACTGCACAAGGCACTCCCACACTCCCATGTGCTTCTGTGTTTGCAGCTGCTGCCTGCCCTCCTTCCACTCTGTGCCCTTACCTGCAGTCTGGCCGTGCTGTGCAGCGTTTGGCACATTCGTCCACCTCCATGGGTTCCTCTGACATCAGGGCAGGGCCTTGGAGACTCAGTGAGATCAGCTCAGTGGCTTTGCGACTCTGGAAGTTGTTGAGAGGGGAGCACTGGCCTAGAAGGATACAGTAAGTCACAGAGCTAGCCACAGCCTGGATGCAAAGGACAATGCTGCCTGGCTTTTGTCACTGCCCAACATGCAGGCATCCAGGAGGAGCCTGGGATGCATGTGGGTAGCTATGCAGGCAGTGCAGAGCTAATGGAGCCAAAGTTTGTATTGACCACGTGCCAGCTGTGCCTTTTGTGGGACAACTGAGTGAGGAACTTTGGGCAGTTGTACAAGCCTCACAGAGATGGAGCTCACGCCTGTTCTCACACATGGGTGCAGCAGTTACCACAGTGGGGTGAGGGACAAACATGGGACCACACTGTAGTTACCAGAACCCTGGCAATCTCTCTGTCCCTCCTCCTAGGAAGAAGCTCCCTCATGTGACAGCACTATGAGCCAGAAAGTCACCAGCCTTTGAATCCAGACAACCCACCTTTCATTAGCTTCCATGCAGTCCCCATAACAAAGTGCTCCCACCTGACCGGGCAATGCAAGGGCTCAAGTAGTGTCTCCCACCCAAGCTGCAGGAGCCATCCTACACTCAGAGGCCAACACTCATAGGAGCTTTCCAGCAGCTGGAGCTGGATGAAAGCAAATCCAGGAATTCAGGAATATGCTCCTCTGCTTAGACCAGTGGTCTTCAACCTGTAGTCCACAGACCCTTGTGGGGGTTCACAGACTATGTCTAAGGAGTCCACAAGAGATGACTATGATCAATCAAAAGTATGTGAATACCCACACTTACAATTCAAAGGGGTCCACACCTCCATTTAAAATTTCCAAAGGGGTCCACAAATGAAAAAAAGATTGAAAACCACTGGCCTAGACCATAGAGACTCTGGTATCTGTAAACAATGGCTGATTTCACCACTGTTCTCAGCTGCCCATAGATGGCCACGTAACATAGAAGCCTTTGCCTCATGAGGCATGAACTGTACTGGGGCTCCCTGCTTGTAACATGACTCAGAGAGAGGGTTGATGCTGCTCAGCCTGGGCAGACCCCTAACAGAGTGGCTGAGGCCTTTTCTCAGGAGCTGGCCTTGGATCCTACTGCTCTCACTTCACACCAGGCCCCCTACAGTGTAGGTACAAAATGTGGGTCCCCTGCATTGGCCTGGAGGGGAGGCTGAGTGCCAGCCCTGTGCCATATGGCTGGGGAGGGGGTACAGTAGCAGGGCCCCTTGGTCCCAGACCCTGGCCTCATGGGGCATGTTCATAGTGAGGCCCAGCTGCTTTAGAGAAACCTGGGACAGGGCTCCTTACCTGTGCTGAGGGCACAAGCCAGGGCGAGCAGCAGCCCTGCTCTGGCCTTCATGGTTCCTGTGTTCTGGCTTGTCCCCCCAGGAGGTGAGCTGGGCTTGCTTACAGGAACTGCGTAGAGGCAGGGGTGGGGCCTTCCCAGAAGAATGAGACCCCCTTCCATCCCTCTGCAAATATTTGTTTCTGGGCTACAAGCCAACAAAGCAGCTGCAGAATGAAGCAACAATACCCACAGGGTTTTTCCAGCAAGGCCATCTCCTCAACACACAGCCTCACATGGGAGTCTGGACTCTCCACTGAGGACCCTGCAAGACCCCAATCATTGCATCACATCCTCCATATTAACCCCTTAGGGCAGTCTACAGCGAAATTTCAAGCAGGACTCAACCCTTTAACCTCCTAGGTAATGAACATGACTAATGAAGCAGCTCTCCCCAGGAGGGAGCTGCTCCCAGCATTCAGCCAGGGAACAGTCCCTGGTTCCCTTGCAGTAGAGGTGCACAGCTATGCTGGAGTGGGTCTGAAGGGTCAGCAAAGGTTTTTGCCAATGATGCTGTAGATCATATTTACCCAGCCATGAAGCTCCACCCAGCACTAGCACCAGGATACCTCAATGTCAGGTGTAACCCTGCTTATGTTGTACATGTTCTGTAATGGTGACTTTGGATGTGGACAGATATAACACTCGAATCATTCCAAGAATGTCACAGATATTCTGACTTAGGTTTCTGAGGCATGATTAAACCACAGCTTGAATGCCTCTTCTACAAGTATGGGGACTCTGCTCCCTGAAAACACCCAGAGTTTCCTATATAGGGCTAACTCAGGGTGGGGTTTCTTTCAAAGCTTGTCCCAGAGACTTTGCCACAAATGGCTGTGTCATGGGGCAGGGACCTAAGAGTGGCCATGATCTCTCCTAGCGCCCCCCCTACCGTGCCAAGTAGGTGTCAACGCACCCTGAATCTCGTCCACCACGTCTTTGATGATAAGATTATTAAGGGAGGCTGTCTTTTTATCCTCCTTGACACGGTGCCCCTGACGTACTCCAATCTGCGCCCCGTCTACGGTGACTCTGTGCGCTCTCGCCTCAAGGGCTATGCGTGGCTCCTACCACCCCTAATACCATGCCCCAAGCCTCTCAGATGTACCAGACATTGTTAAGTACATCATTGTTGCCCGCGCCCTCGCAAACGCCCTCCGGGCTGGACTTCTACTTGCGGCCCCAGCGGGGCTCCTCTCAGTGCCTTTGCCCTCTCTGGGGCTCTTCTCAGCGCCCTCTGGCTTCTTGCCAGTGCCCACACTGGTGCTCCCCACAATTGGGGCTCAGGTGGCCGCAGCCATGCCTGGCCCCCAGACCCCTCTCTCAGGTCTACGATCACTATCCAGCTCAGGTCACCTCAGTCTTACCTGGCCCTCAATCCAAATTGCTGTGCCCTCTCTGGCATCAGGAACCCTCATGCTACTGGGGAGCTCCTACGAGGCCTCCTCCAACCCCTATAGCCTCCCCCGGTCCACCGGTGTAACAACTACCAACAGAAAACTCAAGCCCCTGGGCTACAACATAAACTCCAAGCCATCTGGCTAAAACCCAATTTCTAAGCCCTCTGGCTTGCCATCGTTCAAAACCCTACCAGGGTTTGCTCCACCCAGTCCTCAACCAAAGCCGTTCAAGCCATCTAGCATCTACAGGCTGCAATACTCCAGCAGAGCTCCCTCACCCTTCAATGTTAGCAGGGAACTGCCTGCTTAGCCTCAGCCTAAGCTGTTTATATAGGCCAGGCCCTGCCCCCTTCCAGTCAGGTGACCGAACTGCAGTTGCCCCGGCAACCGGCACCTGTACCATTTCCCTAGGAGCAGGGCACTTCAGTGCACTGCGACACACCTCCCCCCTTAAGTTCATGCCTCACTAGGAGCAGGGCACGAGAGTGTCCTGCGACAGGCTGGAACTGGTGGTAGAGAGCCCAAGAGTCCTAATAGATCTGCCTTGGTCTTTTTCTCTGTCTCCAAAATCTCCAACATTCTCTTTAAAAAGCTGCATCAGAAGTCAGAGCAGGAGGGGGCTGGCTCCTGAAAGCAGTCATGGTCCATATCCTTATTTCCTTGGGAACCCTTGAGGTCCCATTGGCCGCTACAGCTCATGGGGGGCAGCAAAATCATTTTCCTCCTTCCTAAGCCTGAGCCCATGTACCTGGCAGTGCCTCAAATAGTAGGAAAAATTGTTCTTTGCAAACTTTTGGGCACAAATACCCTTCTTCAGGCATAGAACGACTCTCTCTTCCTGAAGAAGGGTATTTGTGCCTGAAAGCTTGCAAAGAACAATTTTCCAACTATTTAGTTAGTCTAATAAAAGATATCACATTTACCCGAAGAACCATGTCTGCCTATGTCCTTAGACCAGGTGCAGGCAATTATTTTGGGCACAGGGCCGCTTACTGAGTTTTGGTAAGCCATCGAGAGCCACATAACAGGCAGCCAGGGGCAAATAAATATTAATTTTCTAAATTTTTTAGGGGCCCCACGGGCCAGATATAATGGCCTGGCAGGCCGCATCCAGCCCCCAGGCTGCATTTTGCCAACCCCTGCCTTGGACCAACATAGCTACAACCAACAACCCTTAAATAGTACCAGGCATTTTGCAGTGTTCTGTAAAGAGGTTTCAGTGTAAGCCTCTGATATGCCCGTAACCAACAGGGACTCTTGGGGTCTGTGTACATCCCCTTATATCAGGGGCAGGCAATTATTTTAGGCAGAAGGCTGCTTACGAGTTTTGGCAAGCTGTCGAGGGCCACATGGGTAGCACTGCTCCTTGACAGGTGCCCCACCCCTGGTGACTGGAAGCCCCGTCCCCTAGCCCCTTACTCCTTGTGTCAAGGGGCAGATTATATTCTAAAAAGAAAACATCTAAAACATTCATTAATTTGATTTCAAAAAACATTTTCTCCTTGTTCACATGGGCTTGTGTAGTGTACATAGAGATGATTGTATATAATAGCTTAAAATGAACTCTTACTCTTGTATATTGTGGGAGGGGTATAGGTTTGTGGGGGGCTGTGGGTGTATGGGTATGTGGGGTGTGGGGGAGGGTGTGGGTGCATCTATGGAGGGTGGATAGGTGTGTGGGTGTGGGGTGAGGGAGAATGTGGGTGTGTGTATGGATATGTGGGGTGTGGATGGGTATGGGGTTTTTGGAGGGATGTGTATGGGGGTGAGGGTGGCTGTGGGATGTATGAGGGGGTGTGGGGGTGGAGTCTGTGTGTATGGCAGTGCAAGGGGGGTGCCTGTGTATGGTGGGATGTACATGTGGGACTCACCCTATGAACAGACACACACACACAGCCCCTCCTTACACACATATACAGAGCTTCTCCCTACACAGACAGGCACACACAGCCCCTCCCTACCTAAACACACACTCGCACACCCTCCCTACACACAAGCATGCACATGTGTGCGCACGCATACACACACACACCAGGGTACTAGCGACCCATGATCCTGTGGTCAGGCCATGCAGCCAGAAGCCACACAGTGCTGGAGCAGTGCAAGGGCAGGAAGGCAGGGAAATGACTGGGGGTGGGGCAGGTCTGGGTTGCTGTCTCCTGCTCACAGCTCCCCCTGGGTCCTACTGCCCCGGCTTCCATCATTTTTGACAGGTAGCCAGGAGCAGTTAAATATTTTCTACATTTTTTAGAGCCCCTGCGGGCCAGATCGAATGGTCTGGCAGGCCAGATCTGGCCCACAAGCCATATTTTGCCCACCCCATGCATTGTATCATTCCTCTAGCACAGGAGTTGTCAATTGGGGGTACGCATACCCCTAGGGGTACTTGGAAAGGCTATAGGGGGTACATGTGGGCAGGCAAGGACAGAGTGTGCCCCAGGGCATTGTGGTGGTGTCTCCCATGGCGCATTCCCACACGTCGCTTTTTACCTAGGGGAGGGGGAGGGGCATGCTGGGCGCTGCTGGCCCACAGTTCCTCCCTATCCCCCACCCCCCCAGCTCACTCTCTTGATTGGCCACAGGGCCAATGCCCTCGGTCAATAGCCAATGGCAAAGAGGTGCCATGGCCACCTCCTGCCTGCAGAGCCACAAGGGGAGATGTGTGTTTCTGTGCCTGCTCCCTGGAGCGGGGGGGGAGGGAGGCAAGGGCAGTGGCACCCCTCTGCAGATGGATGTGGGGAGGGCGCTCAAATGTGGCCACCACCGCCACTGCCACCCATCACCCTGTGCCGCTGCAGCATGCCGCTTTCCCATGGCTGGTTGCACCTGCAGCTTCACGGACTGCTACCAGGTAGCATGTGATTGACTGGGAGTTAGGCCCATCAGCAGCCCATGAGGCCACACATATGACCACCTGAGGGAAAGCAGCACACAGTGGCAGTGGCACGAGGCGGTGGGTGGTGGCAACACAGGGCAGTGGACGGCAGTGGCAGCAGCACGGGGTGGTAGGTGGTGGTGGCAGCCACCGTGTGCAAGCCCTGCCTCCCCCCCTGCATCCAGCCACCACCACCAGAAGGAGTACATTTGTTAAAAAAGGTTGAAAACCCATGCTCTAGCAAGTACATTGCTATGATGACCACAAATATTCCCCAAATAGTTCAGTAAAATAACACCTTACCAAACTATTGCCTAATTGCTTGCAAAGGGTACCAGCCCAGAAATCCTGGATGAGCCCCAAAATGTAAATCTTCTGCCAGGCACCAGACAGCAGTAACAAGTGCTGGGTTGAAATTTAGGGATTTAGCATTAACTTTCTCAACCTGGACTGAGCCCTCACCCAGAAACTTAGGAAAGTAAAATGTAACTGGATGTCTTAATATAAATAAGTTTCCCCAGTCACAAGCAACATTCAACTATAACAGGGTTTATTACAGGGGAAATGGGAGCAAACACAAAACCTTAGAGAAAAACTTAACTATTAAACAATTAACTGAAACCCAAAACAGTTATCAGTCTCAGTCACTGGCAAAGAAACTCAAGGGAGCTGCCACCTGGCTCAATCTGTTGGGAAGGGAGACACCCAGGACCACCATCTGGGGCATCTACTATGAGCCAAAGGGCATCCCCAGAGTGACTTCCATTTAGACACTCTCTTGTTCCTCACGCACAG